ATTTCGTTCTAAAGTCCCTGGACAAGAGCGTTCGCAATTCTGGTGCTCCAGGAATCGCACGATACAAGAACGTGCAAAGATTCGCGCTATTTTGTCGACTCAAGCTCTCTGTGTCAAGCATCTCGGGGAGGCGCTCGTCGACAAAGATTGGCGTGGGAAGGTTTGGGCGAATTCTGTCCAGGTGCTTCATCACGTCGATAACAGGAGGCGACCCCATAACACGTTAATGCTTGTCGACACTCGGGGGAATGAGACAGGCTGGTTTCTAGACGTTGATCAAGTCTCTGAGGTCCTCGGTGTCCCTCATGAAGTAGTGCTCAGGCACTACGATGCTGAGTGACGGGGCCCGACGTTTGTGTCCACTGAGGAGGAGCTTAACACAACCTTGGCGCCTACCTCTGCCTCGCGAGGTCCTTTGGTCTCGGCGCCTGCCTCCCCAGACAATGGAGGAGGGATCGGAGAAATGGGATCTGACCTTTTTCCGGTGGTGCATCGCCAAGGTTCCTCAGTCTCCGATGTTCCTAGCTCCTACCGAGGTGTGGCACAACGTAAACCAGTCCGAGTGGCCCAGCAAATTAGGTGCATGACATGGAATTTGCATGGTAAAGGCATTAAACATGTGTCTTCTATGCTTGAGGGACTGGAGACGGCTCCTGAAATTCTTTTCCTTCAGGAAGTTGGGGACGTCCGTGGCTTGGCTGAGGGCATTCACTTTCACGACCTTTTCATGATTGCAGGTCAGGAATTTGTGGGATATGTGGCGAATCCCCGCCACAGCTGGCGATGTAGTGTAGTTCTTCTTGCATGTGCATTGGAATTTAAACTCTTGCAAATGCATGTGCTCGACATTGGCTTGTACGTTGCTGGATGCATGTTGCATGATACATGGCATTGCATGACTCTGCACTTCCCGCATGCTCATCGCCCTGACGCTGCAGAGGTTTGGAAGAATTCGTGTGCTGCTGTGCAAGAGATTCTGGGACCTGTCCCTGCTGGACACAAAATTCTTGTAGGACATGACCTCAACCAAGACGCACATGCACACATTGACATGTTTTCTGGCATGCTTCACTATAGGCAGCTCCTGGCGAGGACGTCCCTCGAAATTTCCCCCCCTCAAGGGGATACCTGGTTTGCCCGTGGTTCGTCTTCTGCCATAGATTTTCTGCTCTTTCGGTTGAAGCATGTGGAAGTGTCCTATTGGAAGCGTGAAGACTATCGTATCGCACTTCCGTCGGATCACAACGCCATAGGACTTACTTTGCACCTAAAGACTGCTGCAGTTCGTCAACCCAGGAAGCAGAGGTCCACGTTGTGTGGTAAATGGTGCTTCGCTGCTGATCTTTTCCTGCAGGCACTTGAACAGGAACCGCAATGGGATCAGGACACCCTCGCTTCGGCGGCAAGAACCAAAGGAGTCAGCATGCGCCTGCCTTCTCTGCGGTATAGAGACCCTCCGGAAATTAAGAGCCTCATTGCGACGAGGAAGGCTTCTCAAGATGCTGACCTGCGTGCTGCATTTATGCAGGAAATTCATCAGCTCAGGCAGGGTGCGCAACAACGCCACAAAGAAGAGCTCTTGGAGAGAGCCCAGGGGGGTGACCATCGTGTCATTACTCATTTGCGTGCTAGCGCAGCTGGGTCCTTTACTGAAGGCTCTTATATTCATCGTGCTGGTGGTCACACCCAAGCCCTTGAAGAACTGTATCGTTTTTACGAGAACAAGTTTTTCTCTGATGAATTGCCTCTGACCCAGGTACACTTTGATGCTGCCAGAGCTAGGCATTGTGTAGGGGCTGCTCCTGAGCCTATCACTTTGGAGGAAATGCAAGAAGCCCTGGCCAAGTGCAATGCAGGCGTCAGCGCTGGCCTGGACGGGATCACCTATGAGGGTCTTAAAGGCCTGTTGAAGCTGGACTCCAAACAGCGTCTGGTTCAGTACTTTAACGCCTTGTTGATGGGTGACAAACCAGTTCCCCCCTCATGGAAGGTGGGGAAGATCGTTTTCCTCCCCAAAGTCCCCAGGCCCAGTAAACCCGCTGACCTACGACCTATCTGTCTTGTGCCTACTCTGGGTCGTCTGTATTCAAAAATCCTGATGCAGCGTATTCGGATGGCGGCGCCACCCTATAAAGCCAATCAGATGGCTTGTCGCACCTCTGTGCAAGTCGTAGATGGGATCCTCGCTGCCCAGAGTACCATGTCGTTGCTGAGGCACACCACTGGTTCCCCTGCTAAGGTCGCCAAGCTTGATTTGCGGGCTGCTTTTGACAGCTTGTCTCATCATGCTATCTATCGATGGCTTATGGCCTGTCAACCATGCTGGGAAGCTGAACGACTCATGCACCTATGCTTCGGTACCCAGGTTCAAGTAGGACTCGCGGGAGAGAGTCGTGTCCTTGAAATGAAACAGGGCACCATGCAGGGGTCTGCCTTTAGTGCCGATGTGTTCTCACGAGTTGTCGATTGGTTTCTTGGTGATCTACTGCCGGCTATGTCGGAAGTTGAGCCCGCGTGGGAGGAACACGTGGCGAATCTTCCACATTTCTTGGTCTATGCTGACGATATCACAGTCTTTGCGACTACGGAGGTAGCCTTGCAAGCTAAGGTCAGTATGCTGGTTTCGACACTTGCTGTTCTGGGGTTGCATATCAACCCAGCTAAGTGTCGTGTCTTGCACGACCCCGAAGGAACGTGTCCGGGGCTTTGGTTGCCTGGCAAGGCAACGCCTCTCCAGGGAGAGCCGAGTCTCCTCTTCTTGGGAGTACCCTTAGGACATGGAGTGAACGCTGCCACAATCATGACGCATTTGATGCGTAAAGCAAGCAACTCCTTTTTCGCATTTAAGAAGATACTTGATAGGGCCTCTACGACGCTGTCTCTCAAGTTCAAGCTTTTTGACACCTATATATCGTCTCGGTGGCTCTGGGCTGCGCCCACCATGTTTCCGGACATGCGAATGCTCAAGAGCATTGAAGGGAGTAAAAACACGTACTTGCTCTCTCTCTGTCGAGTAGGTACTGATGTGTTGATGTCCTGGATAGACAATACTGTTTCTCGTCGAAGGAGTGTGCGTCTCTTGTGTTCCCGGGTGCAGGGACCGGATTGGCGTCGTGCGTGGCTAAAGAGGGTGTGGACCTATCATGGTCACTTAGCCCGTTGCCCAGTTGAACACCCCATGAAGCAGATTGCGAGAATCTGTAGCTCTGGCAATCTGCGCAGAGGTTTGCGCGCCTCATGGCTTACAGATCTGACAGTCCGTAAGCTGCAGCGAGTTTTTCTGAAGTTGCCAGGCATCGGTACATGTCATAGTTGGGAAGAAGCTGCCCAAGATAGGCACCTTTGGGAGCAGTTGCTCCCACAGTGGCTTGCTTATTGGATGCCCGCTGCTCAGGAACCCACAGCTAACCTGGACTATCTGTGTCAGCGACAACTTGTCATTTTACGAACCAAGCGAGTTGTTGAATGCATGTTTCTACGACCCTCGCGAGACGTGTTTGACACGCCTTATGCTGGGGCCTTGTGGGAAATTAATGAGGTGCCGCGCTCAGCCACTAACTTAGTTTGGCTGCGAACGGATTCTTCGGGCTGTTATGCGATTCTGCAGCTCCCCAGAAGCACCACTAAACCGGCGCTAGGAGTACAGGTTCGTCCCTCAGACACTTCTCCCATGTCGCTGTCTTTGGCACTCCTCGCCTTGGGGACCAAGTTGGCAATTCTGCTCCAAACATATGGTTACCGTGATGTACATGTCGTGGCACCTCTATCTCAGTATCAACGTGGGATATTCCAGGAGAATGTGTCGCTGACCCATCTTGCAGAGCTCACGGCACTGTTAGGGCTGTTTGATCACCCGGACAGACCCATGCTGTGCCTGCCCCATACCAAGGTCCCTTCTGTGAGTCAGAGCCTGTTGGAGTCCTTCCGTGCCGTTGCTATGCCTACTAAGTACTTGGTACGAACAGCTGACTTCTCTGATGCGCGCTTTGTAGATGACTTTCGGCAAGTGCATGCGTCGCTGTGGCAGATGCTGTGAACTTTGTATGTGTTGGCGCACTCCCGGTCCCGGTTATGTCCCTGTCAGAAATCGAAAGAGGGTGGTGGTGCCAGGTGGTCAAGATGGAAAGGAGGGGAGGGAGGGTCGTTGAGGTAGGGGGAGGGATGGAAAGGGGGGGGGCAGGTCGGTCACGTAAATCCCCATCTTCGCCCCCCTCAGGCCCAAGACCTCGTCTACTATGGCGGATCCTGAACAGGTGATGGAAACACTGATGTGCCATGGATCTCTGTCTTTGCGACATCTCTGTACCTATGTGGCAGCTTCTGTCTTAGCTCTTCCCCCACAAGGGATGAACTTGGGACTGTGCTGCAGGGTGCGCTGTGCTTTACATTCGGCAACACATTCTGTTCCTTCGGTGGTTCGTTTATTCACGGCCATGATCAGACAGGCTTTTCCCGCGGATCCTTTCCTGGCAATCAAGGTGGTGCGGAACCCTCAGTTTGAGCCTCACAGGGATCAACAGAGCTCGCATCTCCCTAACTTGATTGTGGAACTGCAGTCGTCTGAACATGGTGGAACGTGGGTGGAGACGCATCATGGAGAAGGCGATGTGGCACTTGAGTGTCCTGATGATGCCGTGCGATGGGGACATGTACTCTCAGGGAGTTATCGCTTGAGCGCTCGCACCCGGCTCCATGCAAGCTACCCTGGCAGAGGAGATCGACTGTTGTTGATAGCCTGGACTCCTGCAGCATGGCAGGTATGCCCTAAGGATCTCCTGTCAGAACTTCGAGAGCTGGGGTTCGTTGTGCCCACCTCTGCACAACTGCAAAGAGCCCAAGTTAGCTTATGGGGACCGCAGACGAGTTGGCAGCCACCTCTGTCCTTCCGGACCTGTCAGGTGTGGCCAGTAGGTAGTCTTCAACCAGGCAGTATCACCTTGCAGATTCCTGGTGATGATGAAAGTTCGGATACGTTTCTGAGTGAGGAGGATGTTCTTGTTGATACCTCGTAATCGCTTTCTGTATCTGTCATGTGCGTCGTCAGGATCTGCGGGGTGAGAAGTAGTAGTTGAGTGTGTAACACACTTGGCTGCCTACTTAGCGGAACGCTGAGGCTGTCGTGATGGCACCTCCTTGTCAGTTAGGGACTTATCGGTCCAAGATTGCATGTGCATGTATGCATACTCACTGTGCATGACAGTTTCGGTATGAATTTGTTGCATGTTCATTCCAAGAATTGATTGCATGTCTAGCATGTTCTGCGATTGCATGTTTCCGAAGCAAGTCAGTAAGAAGCCGAAGAACAATGTGGAGGAGTGGGGGAGGGATGAAAGGAGTCCTTGAGGATTAGGTACGTTAGGTTCCTCGGAGCCCAGTCTGGTTTCGGTTCATGAGTCCGTTTCTTTGGGATAATTGGGGACTGAAGCATGTTGGTGGAGTGATTAGGGCACGTCTAGTTTCGGGGCTATCAAGGCGCTTTGGGGCGTCTGTTGCGGTGAGAGTCGGCGGAAGGAGCATCGATGGCAGGTTTGTGGTTCTCCGTAGGTTGAACACACTGCAGAGCCTTTTGATCGAGTGCATACCTCCACTGACGCTTCGTCTCGTTGTGTCTGAGCCATGGAGGAAATCCCGAAGGTGAAGGAGATTGCCCTGGAAGCCGTAAGTGTTTTCAACGGCGGTCGGCTGGATCCTGCGCACTTGCCCTTCCTAGGCATAGCAGTGGCGGTGTGGCTGATCATGTTCTGCCACATGTGGTCTCTGCGCCGTACCTTGAGCAGAGTCTTCTTTGTGGTGAGCCAGATGCAGTCCCAACTGGACTCTGTCAAGTGGCAGATGGATGTGATGAAGACCAGTGTGGAGGCGGTGACAGCCAGTGTGGATGCCATGGCCACAGGCATGCAGGACGCATCACCCTCCACCTTGCCGCAAAGACGAGAGCCCTCAGATGGGGATGACGCAACAGATTTGGGTCGCGCGGTGAGGGACCTAGCATCCATGCACAGCCAGTTTTTCTTGAACTGCGAGGATCTTCGAAGTCTGTGCTTGACGTCGCAATACACGTGTGACATGATGGGAAGCAACTTCAAGTTGCTCCACCACTGTCAGACTGAGCTGGAAGACTTGGTCAGGTCTCACGTGGCTTTAACAGCGGCGGTCAACCTGGTGCTGGACAAGCTGCGAGCCCAACGACGACACCACCGACCTCTGCGACGGCCTCTGTGGTGCAGGAACTCAAGGATGCTCTGGACCCACTGGGCCAACGCATGCGAGCCCTACGAGACACCCTGGATACGGGACTGGCTGGGGTCACCCGACAGCTTGCGGACATGGACCAGACCAATCCCAGCCTCAAGCCTATCCAAGATAGCCTCAAAGACCTGGCAACAAGGCAGGAAACGATGGTTACAGTCACTGACAAGAACCTGGAAGAGACCAAAGTGCAGGTGACCAAGCTGGATGTCTGGTGCGAGAAACTGTCGACGAACTTGCAGGTGACGAACAAAGTACTGGGTGCTCACCAGGAGCTTGTGGACCTGCTCAGCGTGCTTAAAGGCCTCTCGGAGAAGCACAGGGAGCAAGTGGAGAAGTTTGAGATGGCCTTTCGAGGGAAGTTGACTTCCATTACGGAAGAACTACAGACTTTGAAAGGGCAGGCCAACAACTTGCACGGGACCAGCCATGGCATGCTGCGCGGGCTCCAGAAGGGTGTGGACCACCAGGCTAACAGTGCTGACAGTACTGCTACCACCATGGCGGCCATTGCGGCAGCCTTCGGCAAGCCGCCCATTGACTCTCCTGGCATTGGCAAGATCCTGGACAACGTCCTTTCACTTGCAGAGCTGGTCAAAGAACAGGAGGGTCACTTCTCTCAGATCAACGAGCACATGAGCCGGGTTGACACCAAGCTGCATGATGTGAAAGAGAAGTTGCCAGAAAGGCCTCCGTACCGCGTCCCTCCGGCAGACCAGAGCAGTGGCAGTCAGGCAGCCAGGCCCCCACCACAGGTGATCGATCTTCAGAGTCGCATCCCGGTGGTTAGGACGTCCTTTGTGGCTACGCCACCGGTTGGTCCGGGAATAGCCACAGTCACGTACAGCGACGGATCCAAGCAGGCGATCCGCGAGGAAGACATCCGGGGCTACATTGGATGATATGTCTAGGCTAACTCACTCTTCCGTCTGTTGCGTGTTTGCTGTAGCCCCGGGACTGTAAATGCATGAGGAGCTTGCACGCTGCATGACACGATACTGTAATTTAAGCATGTATGATTTCTGAGGAGTCCGAACACACAATGAATTTCAAGCATGTTTCTGACCCCCCCCCCCCTGCGGAGTCCGACTCTTTGCATGAGCATGGTGCATGTACACTGGTGGCTGGCACCAGGAGCATATTGTACATGAATTTAGGATTGCATTGCATGTTGCACGTTGTACATGAATTTGAGAATTTCTGTAGATTAGGTGCTGGGTTCGGCTTTAAGGTTCACGTGTTTATTTGGGAATAAGTTGTTCAGTTTTGTTGCACAAGGTCTGACACATCTGCACGTGATATGGCTGCCATTTCAGTCTTGCTTATGTTTGGTTATATTTCACTTGTTTCTGGTTTGTCGTTGTGAGCTGAAGCAGCTGTGCATGATACCTAACTCTGTCTTGCTGGTAGGGCACATGAAGTCCCTGCATGGCTTCGATGCATGGAATTTAATTTTCTTGGTTCGGCTCCTCACTTGCTCTACTGCACAATGCCATAGTTAGTTGGGAGTTTTCGTTGTAGGGAGTTGGTTTTCTACTATTTTGTGTTGTTTCGGCGGTTTTCGTGTGCTGGCGCTGTGGCAGCTTGGAGCATGCCTCTGAATTTCGGTCCGTTGAGAATACCACGAAGAATTCGCCCGCTTCTCATGTCTTTCATATGCTCGATGCTGCACTGCGGCAGCTGATCTGCTCCACGTGAGCCAAGCAAAAAAAGAGGCGCGACAGTGTGTAAGCTCGAACTGCCCAGCCTTGGGGCACTAGTTTGTGTTGTTTGGGTGCATCCTTTTCACTAGGGTCCTGCGTTGTATTTTGGGTCCATGATGTAGGATCTGCGCAGTCTCTTGTGAATCAGGAGGTTTGGGACATCTGAGGATCGTCTTTGGCCTTTATGGGCTACGCCCCCCCGCAAGCAATGAGATGTTAGTAGGTGATGTGGTCGTCGTTCTCGATGGGTGCAATGCGCTATCTTTGAGAGCTCTGGCTGAGTACAGAGTGCAGAACGTTACCGTGTCTCTCTACATGTTTAGCCCTGCTCCCAGAAAGGTACGGGACCCGGCTTTCTCTCTCTGACGTAACCCTAGCCCTTCGTCGCGATTCTGAGCCATGTACCCGCCGCCTCCACAGCACGACATGCCTTCAGTTCAGCATCTGCTGCCCTTTAGGCAACTCTGGGAGCTGGAAGTGTATGACCAACTACAGTGTATGCCCGAAACCCTGGCCATGCATGTTGCAGAGTCCTTTTACTGGTGGATTCGGGGGACAAAGCGAGCCTGGCGGTGGTGGACACTGCGTATCCCTGCACTGTCACGATACTTGGATGGTCTGCTGGATATGTTAGAAGAATTCCGGCCACGAGACATGGTCGCGTTGCCGCTGAACCCAGATGCGGACTTTGCCATGTTGTATTTGATCGACTGCTGGGTCCGGGTGGAACTGACAGCGGAAGCTATGTGCTGGCCGGTATGTGGTGTCCACCTGCCATGTTGGGAAACAGTGTTACAACAAGCCTTCAGCCCGGAAATAGGTGGCTAATGTTGTGGGCAGTCTAAGCTACTGCACTGACAGTGAAAGCTGGTGGACACTGGGTCCGTACAATATGGCGCTTCGGGAACTCACGCTGACGTGGCCGTTGTATAACAGTTATAAAGATGTGAGTTCCTCGTTGCTGGAATTTGGAATCTATTAATGTTGACGAATTTGGGAATTTATTTGCATGATGGTGAATTTATGGAATGTGTGGAGATTGTCTGCATGATATTCGGAGATCGTCTGCATGACATTGAATTTATGGTATTCACTTCTGGCTGGAATTGGTGCTAGACACCTCTGCATTGCGATGAGCAGCACTGGGATATTCGCTTCTGCATGATATGAATTTGATGTCTACGACTTCTGCGTGGTATTCGCTTCCAAGTTCTGCGTGGTGTGCGTGGTGTTCGTTCTTTGCATGGATGATCTGACTAGCCTCGGCACTTGGGTCAGCTGTTGCAATGGTGTGGATGCACTGGCATGTGAGGGCCCGGGCTGACGAAGGAACGAATTCCTGCTATGACAGACTGAATTGGCAATCGCCAAGTTGAATTGAATCCTTCTGCATGTGAGCCTGGCATGGCAGTCTTTGTATATTAGGCATGAGGTGAATGAGAATTAGGCATGTCGCCGGTGGACCCCGTTGTGCTGTAGGATCGTCAGTGTGACGCTTGGTGTACGCTGTCCCATATATGCGAGCTTAGTTCTTTGTCAGTCATATCACCATCCGTCTCAAGCCATTGTGCTGACTTGTGAAGCATGGAACAATGTTTTCATGGGTAGTCGATGTACTTCGAAGCCTTCCTCGTGGAGAGTGGGGTAATACGTCCCACTGTGTAGCAACGGGAGCTCTGTGACTTGATTTTGGGTGGTTTATGGTCTTAGATTGGTTTGTGGGCACATGTCCCTCCAGAGCTCTTCATGCGTGACGGAATTGTGTGGAGCCTTGCCTGCCTGGTGCGAGTGTGAGAGTCGAAACATCAGTCGAGACACCAAAACCTTAAAGTAGCCCAAACCTCTCCTAATGCCTGCACTGCGAGCCGCTAGCTTCCAAGTACAAGTGGTGTGGGATCTTGCGAATACTATGTTGGAGCAACGAAGTGACCGTGCGAACGTTCTAAGATTCGGATGGGGCCAAGAGATGCCAAGAGGCTGCCAGGCCGAGGAGTGCCGAAGGTTCTGTCGCAAGACCTCCCGTGCGCTGGATTGCTCGTTTTGCATGAACGGGCAAAGTTTTGAATGGGAAGGGTCTGCGCAGGCAATACGTGATCTTCAAGTGCACGAGCTGCAGAAGCGGATGGAAGAGGCTTGGATGCAGCCACTTGGGTATTCCTCTGAGAGTTTTGCGGTCATGCGGGCAGGCGGTTGAGAGAGAAGTGGAGGACACACTGGACAGAAGAGTTTGTGTCACGTCATGGCCGTCATGGCCTTCTGACCAGCTCGAGGAGGCTGAGCTCGTGGCATTGGCTCGCATGTATGTGGCCGCGGTCAAGGCGAGGCTGCGGTTTGCGCGGAACTCTGGTGCGACTGGGACAATGGTGAAGGCATGTGAGCTTCTAGAGCCGAGGAGGCTTCACAGTTCGACAGGGGCGTGCTTCGCGTGGACTTCGATGAGCAAGCGCGCAGCTATGTGCCTTAGCAGTATGAGCTGAATGTCGGGCGAGTGCTTTTTGTCACTGCTTCATCCCTTGCCTCTGTCATGCGAGAGGTGGCATCATGCCTGTCGGGGTGACTGCTGCAGAATGTGCAATGTCGAGTCAAAAAGCTGCAGAGATTTGTAATGTCGTGCTTGCTCGAACGCAACAGAATAATTTTCAGGGGTGGTTGGTGCATGGCCCAAGGCGAGATCGGCAGGCAGAAGAGTAGAGCGAGCCGCCATGGCGCAGCGCAGCGGCCAAGGAATGCCTTGACCTCATGGCCCGTCGCTGGGCATCGCCCCGCAGAGTGCCTCTGAGTGCCAGGCAGATGTTGCGCAAGGTTTTGCACTTTCGGATGTGTGAGGTCTTGCAAGCTGTTTAGAAGCATAGCAGCACAGACTTGCGCTGCGACCATGCAGGGCTATCCGGAGCAGTGCTGATTGGCCGGTGGTGCATCGAAAACCGCATTCAGCACGGCGCTTCATCGCAGCCGACACTTGGATCTCCGATCTTGGGTGAGAAAGCCTAAAGAACCGCGAGCGTGTGGAGATTCGTCACGATTTGTCAGTTTCTCGTCGCCTCGGGTCCTTGAGCAGCGAAACCATGTTGCGCACAGTGGATGCAACCAAATTCTGCGGTACATCGCTTTGTCGTGGGTTTCAATCTGCAACAGTCATGGAACTGGGTCTGAGTTTGCCTTCGGAAGCCGCAAAAGTTTTAGACTCAAACGTCGTGCCCCACTCTTGCATCTGACTTAAACTCTCATGCCACGAGTCCCACTGCGCTTGCAGTGCTGGATCCCGGGTTTTGCGCTGGGTCGAGGTTTTGGTGGGTGTTCTTCGTCGCATCGTCTTTAGGATTGCATCTTTGTTGCGGGGCCCCAGCGATCCCGTCAGGAGAGCATGAGATGAAGGGGTCTCACGAACTTCTTCACGAGAGCAAACACCTTTTCCCAGCATTGCCTGCAGCTGGTTCCTCAGGCAGCGAACGATTCCAGCGATATTTCTGATGATAGTGGCGAGGAAGAGCCTGCAGCCTTGGAGGAATGTGTCACGGACCGTCGGCGCCCTGCCTATATGCTTGGGCTCCAACTTTTTCCGTGTTTGGCCGTGAGCATCTGTTGTAATTGCGGCCTATCCTCGGCCAGGATAGTGGCACGAATTTTGCGCAGCACTGGACTTCGGGGCCTTGTGACCGGGCCAATGGGTGCAGGCCTTGAGATAGCCGAAATTGCAAGCCAGATCAGAATACTCCCAGTGCCAGGACAAGTGTAGGGCATGCAGGTGATTTGGTGTAAGTGTGAAGGTGTGTGAATCGGCCAGGACGGACCGGCAATTGAGCCGAAGCTAAGACTCAGCCCAAGCAAGGGGATAGGATTTTTTGTTGAGCAATTGAATCAGACTGGCCTGCCGTGGCTGCAGGCTTGGTCACTTCAAGGATTGCTGGCTTTGGCAAGGGCGTCTCGCCGTCGACCCGCCCCCTGGACAATCAACACGGGACGAAGTCCGTGCAGAGCATTCGGATTTGCCGTAAGCAGCATAGGCAGCTGCGAAAGTAGCGGCTTCTAGCTCCTTTTTCCTCTGCCCGGATTCGGCATCTCCGAGGTATTGAGAACTGTGTCGCTGTCGCTCTGAACGAAGCGGATGTTCGCACCGAGGGCGGCCGCTTCTTTGTATTGACGGCAGCACATGATGGCTTCAACCTGACCTGGGTTCCGTCGGTTTCGGCGCGAGAAGGGCTGCGACAAGCTGACCAGGTAGCTTGGAGTTGATTCGACGCCTTCTCTCGTGAGCTTGGCCACAGCCTTCACAAACTTCTGAGGCGCCAGATGGCTGGTTGCAGGTGGCGCTGCTGCCTTTCCGCTCTGAGCCTCGGCCTGGAATCTCGCGTGTGCAGACGCTGGCTGCCGACTCCCAGCTTAGGTTTTCTCGAAACACGAGGCCGGTGACTTTGACTGCTGTGTTTGAGAGAGGTTCAACTGTGGCATCTGTTGTTTCTCAGGGCTTAGCAGCCGCTGCAACGAATAGAGCGCGGAGAGAGCGGCCCTCAGCTGATCGACGCCTTACAGATGCCAGCCGCTGCTTCGTCTGCTGCTGCTGCCGCTGGTGCCCTGAGCCCTGACGTTGCTCTCAGGCAGGCCCCGCGGCGGACGACCTACCACCCTTGCAGACTCCTCCCGACGCCTTGCTTGAGGCCGCAACTCCAGAGAACCGGAATAATGTTGGAAAGCACCTCAAACACAGGAGCTGAAGCAGCTGGGCCTGGATGGCCTGAGAGCCTTGATCTTCGTCCTTGCCAAGATCTACCAGAGCCTCCATCTCCTGAATCTTCTGTGTAGGGTCATGGGACATGATGGTCAGTGTTTTGCTTCGATGCCTGCCCTCTTCCCGAATGTGGCAGCGAAGGACGCCCGACAATGCTTTCCAGGCAATGAGTCCCGAGACGCTCGCCTGCAGGGGGTCGCAAAAGGTCTCGCGGGCATTCCATTGCCTCCATTGCCATGGCCCCAGCAAAGAAGCGGCCCAGGCACGCTCAGGCAACCGCGCTGGATCTTGAGAACCTCTGCCGCAGGCACTGTGCGAGAAGTAGTCATCTTGGGCCTTAGTGGCGGATTTCGGCAGGCAGCTTGGTTATGATGTCGAGTCCCTGACCGGCGTGAAGCCCCTCCTGCTTTTCGCGGAGCTGGACGTGCGAAGCAATGGCTTCATCACTGTTGAGGACGCGTCGCTGTGAGTCCTACGGAGTGCAACAGGCACTTCTGCGCAGGATCTGGGTTGCAGCAGTTCATCTCCAGAGAAGTCTTTGCCATGCAGCTGCGCAGCTGTTGGCCACGCCTGTATCTCCCAGGCCAACACTTTCAAGCCATCGCATGCAGTTGTTCTGCCCCTCTGCCTTTGCTGCAGAAGGTCTGGAAGCTAGGCAGTGGCAGCGAAGGAGACATAAGACGAATGTCGAACTACAGCAGCGTAGCTTGCTCAGATTTGCGCAGCTTGCCGTGACTTTCATAGGCCGGGGTTGAAGTCTAACATTCTGAAGCCGAGAAGCAAGGCCCTATCCTCCGGCATGAAGTCGAAGAAGGGAGCCAAGGCTTTTGAGACTTGAGAGCTGAGCTTGCAGCGAGCTGAGAGCAAGCTCGCGGCTCTTCGGTGCCAGGTGGCCGCACCTGGCTTGAGGCGCCTGGAGCGGCCTCGTGCTGGGACGGCCTCGGGAAGCGACTCGACTTCCGACTTACATTCAAGCGCAGCACCTAATGTGACGGGATGTCTGGGGTCTGCACTCGGCCGCTTTGGTGGTTAAGTGCTCATGTAAAAGCCTCCGTAGTTTTCTTGTGCAAGACTCAGATTGCTAGGGTGTTTTCATGTGTTTTCCATTGCAATCCCGATTGTCAGGTGATGACGGGTCACGAACGACCCGAAGGGAAGCGCATCGACAGAATGATGCGATTCGGAAGGAGCGGGAGAACCGAGAAATGCAGGACACGAGGGTCAGCAAGCTCTCCTGTGATGGGCTGTGCATGACCGGTAACATACTCAAAGGACACGCACCTAGACCTGGAGAGGGAGCGCTTTATCACTACAGTGCCACTACACATGCACAGAGAACGTTTGCAGGCCGAGGCTAGATTTTTGGATGGTCTGCTTGCTGACCCAGGCAGAGAACCACCGTGCTACACCCTTTGGATTACAACGTCACGAGGAGGATGTTCGAGGCACTGATACTATATGTGCTGAATTACTTCAACAATCGCCTTAGGACCGGGGTCGATGTCAGGAGATGGAGTCGAAGCATCGGCTGGTGCAACGGCTGAGTGCGGAGGCAGAAGCCGCCTTTGCGAAGAGCCGCGGAAAAGTTGTAGAGGAAGAAGGCCTTCCGAGCTTGACAGTATCTTCAGCATGCGCGGGCAGTTGCATGAGTTTGCCTGAGGTGACGAAGCACGTGTGCCGCTGCCTGACACCCAAATCAACGAGCCAAAGGAAGCGGAGAAATCTCAGATGCCCAAGAAGAGCTCACCGAACACCCCACGAGCTCTTCTCGAGCCCCTCGGCTGAACTGTTCGGCCTTGCCTTGCAGGCCTTTCCAGCAGCTTCCAGCATTTTTCTCCTCCCCAGGATGTCACGGAGCCGCGGTGGCCGCGCAAACAATCCAGTCAAGCCTGTCCAAAAGGAGGCGGACATCGAATCCACCAGCAGCTTGGAGCAAAGGCAAGCTGTAATGAATTAGAAATTTCGTTTCAGTCGGAGCTGAGGCAGCAAGCCACTCCCTCAGGCCAGGAAGCTGGCACTAGCACGTGAGCAGGCAGCTCGGCAGCCCAGCCCAGTCCGGACGCGAGTGGAAATTGCGACTCTGGTGGTCGATGCTCTCCGGCCGCGTGTGGCTGCTGGCAATTTGACTTTGATTCAGAAGTGGAAGACAACAGGTGTTGGCAGGGGCATTCGCTTGAATTCGAGCCGCAGCAGGCATTGGGGATGGCCAGCTTGCTGTCTACTACTTCTTCCGTTCACATGGGTCCAAGCGGAAGCAGCTTCACCAAATCCAGGGATTTGATGCATCCCGTCGCGTGGGAGATGTTGCGACAGCATTGTACCTTCCGAGCCGGCGGCTTCTAGACGATGGGGCCCTGGCGGTGGAAACGGCATCTGGCAATGCAAGAAACAAGCTTTGACGAGGTTTTGTTCCTCCGACGTGGTTCCACCCACGTGCGATCTCCTGCGACTGTGCACCACTCCTCAATGTCAGGTCCTAGCAGGATTTGAGAGCGGGCGCGTGGCCATCTTCAAGACTTTTTTCCCGGAAGATTTCGTCACCGAGTCAAGCGACAAGACAATGACCTTGGAAGAAGCCACTTGTCAGAGTTGTGGTGGCCAGCCCAAGTGGTTTTGCAAGCTGCGACAGTGGCCCACTACCGTCATCCAGCCTCGCTGATTTTTGCGCGTTTCCGTGCCGGAAGCCAGCACGGAAAGACTATGCCATCGCACGGCATGTGTTCGCTTGATGTGCCGCCGAGGTCATGGAAGAACGAGAGGGGATCAAAAGCCTTGCAAACGGTGAGCCGGTGTTGCAAGCACAAGAGCCTCTCCTCCTGGAGCATTACCATTGTGACAGTCCGGTTGTCGCAACGCGTTCGCATGTTGGCCGTTTAAAGTTTACTTTTCCATTTTCCGCTGTGAGACTTGCAAAGGCATTGTTCTGGCATCAGATCATGGGCATTTTCAGCATCTCGACGAATGGTCGAGTGGTGGTGGCGGATAGTTGTGGCGTGAAGACTTTCTCCATCTCGGAGGCGAGCTATGCGCGGAAATAGTCCACGAGTAGTCCACTGTAGCTGAGCTGTGATGTTCAACGAGACGCCGAGCCCTGGCCACCAGATGATGTCAAGTGAGTCGAGTACGCGCATCCGAAATTAGGCAGGAAGCGGAGACCCCGACACATCGGGGGGGAACACCTGCCTCGAAGCCGTCCAGCGAACACAACGGCGCTGAATTCTTCCATGGCAGTAGTTCACGGCCAGCGCATCCCAACAACGCGAAGAGACTCTTGCCAGGCATGCGGCCGAAATGCCACAGCAACTTCTGCAGACATGCTTCGCACTCGGCGAAGTCTCACATGGCACTTGGCATTGATGGATCCATCATGCTTATGCAGCCCCCGCACGCGCAGGTCAACACAGCTGGAGCAGCTTGCCGTGGCCGGTCAGCGCGGCATCCATCTGTGGCAGACCCTGTCGCAGGCACACAGCAGCAACACGCCAACCCGCCTTATAGCACAGTGTCATGTCCTGTGTTGAGGCCAAGTACGGGGTGGTTGGCACGGTGCAGGCGGCGGGAAACAAAGAGCAACATATGCTGACCGAGCGATTCATGATGGGAGATGAGTGGTTGTGTGTTGGATAGTTCTCTGCAGCGCGTTCTCCGCTGCCTCAGCCTGTCTGTGGGGTGTTACCACCACCCCCCCTCCATGGTTGGGCGAGGCCTTGACCAACAGATATGCATCAACAAAAGTAAAGATACACAAACAAGAATGAAAAGCCTCTATTTAAAGATATAGAAACACAATACGTAGGAGAAACGAAAGTTAATAAGCAACCAGAAGACAAAAGCAACGAAAGAAAGAGAGACAGAAAGAAAGAACGAAATAAAGAACGAAAGAAACACATTGACATAACTAAGCAAAAACACAACGAACTAAAGAAGCACAAAGAGACAGAAATAAAGAAGGAAAGTAAGAACGAAAGAAGCCAGGGAAAAAATAATAGAAAGAAAGGAAGACAGAAATAACAACATCACAAAAACAACAGAAAGACGGAAATGATGAACGAGAGAATCAAAAACGAACAACTGGAAGAACGAACAAACAACGAAAGGAAGATTGAAACACACACTGAACCCGAGAAACCCAAAATGGACAGAGGGACCAGAGCATATATTTATGCATTTGTAGTTTATATGTCGCTATATATATATATATATATCTTTTATCGAGTATGTATATATATATATGTGTGTGTGTGTATGCATAAACACACACATTTATTTACTTGTTTATGTAAACATACTAGACTTAGATACATACATATCCAACACTTACATTTGCACGTATACACATATACATATAAATGTGTAGACACAGCATATGTTTTTTTATGAAATATGTAATGTCATGTAGTGCAATGTAATTCATTTGTAATTGCAATTGTAGTTGCAATTGTAATTGTAATTGTACTTGTAATGTAGTTGTTATTGTACTTGTACTTGTACTTGTACTTCTACTTGTACTTGTACTGTAATGTAATGTAATGTGATGTAATGTAATGTAATGCCTGTAATGTAATGTATGTATATGCATATCTGGCATGTGCATATACCCAGATGTATAATACGCATGTCCTCTCTCTCTCTCTATATATATATATATTTATATATATATATACACATACACACACACATATATATATATACAGGTCATGTATAGTGTTTATGTGTATATTTATATATGCACATGAATATGTATATGTGCGCAGCTATACACCCACATATGTATGTGCGCAACCATATATAATTATATATATATGTATATACATATATTATTTTATTTATTTACTTACTCGACACAGCGCCGTGCGTGCTTCCTCCGTTTTCGGATTGCGCAGGACGGCCGCCAGTACGAGACCACGAAAATCCTGCGATTTTGGGATCGTCGACAAGCCCGCGGCGATTTGCCTTTAAAATATTTTCGGGGCTTCGTGCCGAAACTCCGGATATATCCCGGAAAAAGTACGGTTTCGTACCGCAGCAAATTCCCGGGAGATTCGGAGTTTCGTACCACGGGATTTCCTCTGTGCACGGTTTCATATTCTAGCCTTGATTTCACCACGGCGCTTTGACAAAGCATATCAATCGACGTCTTGCTAAAAATGCTCAAGCTAGGTAGGATAGTGAACGGTTCGACACTTTCTACATGCCACGCAAACCCGATATGTCGCACTGTAGCATTTTCCAGTACAGTATCGTGCAAGCTTCGCGGGTTTGGCGTGGTACGAGCTACGCAGTTTTCAAGCTAACACTATTACACAACTGTGGTGAGTAAGTATAATTAGTAAGTCAAGACTTTTGTACATGGCACCCCTACCGAAAAAGTGCGTACAGTGCTCTCTAGCATGTTCCAGTCCCGCATAGTGCATTGCCACACGTTCGTCGGATCCCTGCGCATGAGTCTCCTGAACTTTGCAAGCTTTTTGGCTTCCAGTAATTCTGGAATCAGAAGGTGGCCGCCCAGACATCATAGCTACAGACCGGAATGTGGACACGCAAGTTGCGGGCGAGGGCGTGCTGAACTGATGCCGGCGAAAAGTAAACGGGTGGGTTGCGCGCAGTGCCAAGTCCGCCGGACGGTGCCCAGACCGGTTTCGGGAAATCCCGGCCTCAGGAGAGACCCGCACCTTGACCAAGCACCTGACCCTCCCCAGGCTGTCCCTGCTCACAGTCTCGTGAAGTACCTTGTGAAATCAGCCTTCGTTGTCTGCATACGGCCGTACTTGCGCTGGCTCGCACCAAGCAAATGGCCACGTCTATCCAGGCCTCCAGAAAGGCCCTCGACAAGCTCAGCTCCCTCCCGCCCACCACTCCACAACAAACACGCCTTCGCCCGCACTCCACAACACACCCCACAGAACAGACCAAACGCAGTCGCCCGCCACTCCGCAACACGAAAATGGCAAGATGCTCTAAGCGTACCATAGCCTAACATGCTATAAATTTGTGCACTACTAAACCCTGGATGTCAACCCTTGCGCCCTGAACCTTTACCCGCATGCTTCGGCCCCGCTTCCCACTGTGCCGGGAAACATGCGGGCAGGCAAGACTTCCAGTTCTAGCTTTGGAAGGTGTCGTGAAACCCAGCTATGAAAGGATCCAACATGGCTCGCTAGAACAAGTTGTAGACTACTTGAATATATTATAGTCATTATAGTATAATGTCGCAACGTATACTACAGCATGTTCTTATGCTTAAGTATGTTTCAGTGCCTTGTGTTGGGCCCAGTGAGCAGCAGACTGGAGGATAGTCCTTCCTGAAAGATTTAGAGCTGCCAAGCCAAGAATAACTCTACAGTCTACAGATATGTATTGGAGTTTCATCATCGCGTGCTGAAGCCCTATCCGCTGGCTCCACAAGCAGGCGCGTTGTACTGATCATTGGAATGCTAGCCGGCTAGCCGGTGGACAAGCAATTTCTGAAAGAGTTCCGTGCCAAGATAAATGCTAGCATCGCTGGATGGGCATCAGGTGCGCGATGCAGAGACATGCAAAGACTTGGACAGGAGGGTCTCATTTCATTATAAGAATATATTAGCAAGCCGCCCCCTCGCCCGCGGAGGCTGCAACCCCCGGTTCTTTTAATTTATGCCACGTGAACTCGCTTGAAAAGTTAAAGGGTTCCTTCATGAGCCCTTTGCAAGAGCCCAATCATGCGAGCATTGTGCTTGCAAATGGGGGGAACCCCCCAACGCTGTGTGTATAGTTCTGCAAACCTGCGTCAGAGAATGGCATACCATCAATGGAAGTTCCTTCATGAAGCCTTTCTATGGGCACTGCCCGTTGCCAATGGGCCAGGTTGGACCATACATTTGGAAGTTGCTAATTAGTAGCTAGATGCAGAACAGAACCCACAATTTGTAATTCCGCATTAGCTCGACGCAAGACAAGAGCCTGAAATCGAAATGCAAAGTGTAATTCTCAGCACCGTGTAATTCCCCCCAACTGATTGATGCAAAACAAGACCCTGCAAATCGTAATTCCCCAATACCTTGATGCAAAGCAAAACCGTCCCACATTACATTCACTAGCTTGCCGCAAAAGCAGGACCCAACAAATTGCAATGCTGTCCAATAGCTTGAGGCAAAGCAAAACCTGACACACTGTAATTCCCCAATAGCTTGACGCCGAGCAGGAGCCTAATTGCAATTCCTCATTAGCTTGATGCAAAGCAAGACCCTGCAAATTGCAATTCCTCCGCCAGCTTGATGCAAAGCAGGAGCCTGGACATTGCCATCCCGCTATAGCTTGACGTAAAACAGAAGCCTCGGAGCCGATAGCACAACCGCAAACGATTTGTGTTCTTTGGTGTTTCTTAGACTTTTCTCTATGCATGTTGGATTGCTTTTTCTGACTCCCCAGCCCCCCCCTGCAACCCCTCCACCCTCCCAACTTCAAGGGGTGGGGATGTACCACCACACCCCCCTTCCCCCTTCCAGGGAACATTCAATTGTTACAAGTATTTCGATGATTATCGTTATTATTATTATTAGTATTATTAATATTTTTGTTATTACCATTATTATTTGTATTATTGCTATTATTATTATTATTATTTTTATTATTGCTATGACTATTTTGATTATTACTATTACTATTCATTTTCGTCATTTTGATCAGTATCATGCTATTAATGGAAATAATAATGCCAATGGACAATCATCGTGATAATATTCTTGATAATGCTTACAATAAACGTGAGTATTATAGAAAACACTAATATTTATTGTGATACGAAGGGGAGTGGATGGTGGTGCTGGGGGGGCGGGGTGGTGGTGGAAGCTTCAAGATCCGCTCCCGCAAAATTGAGAACTCTCACCTGTGTGTTGCCGTTGGACATAGGACGGCGCGGATGTCAACCCGGAGCAGAACAATAACTTCATGCTGGTGCGATACATGCCGACCGGGAAGTTCCTCCTGACCCTGAGCCAGGACAAAGGTGATGTCAAGCTATGGGATGTGCCTCGCCTCCACTCGTCGTATTGGTTCTCGGCAGCTTGTCAGGTCCTTTCAGGCTGAGGCACTGTGACGTCCAAGGCTCGTAGCCTGGAGTTGCATTGTTCGCTGCGGCCCGGAGAGAGCTCGGTGGACTGCGCATTCTGGGAACCACGCTGGGCCCAAACCCCAGTCGGCCCCAGCTCAGCATGAGCAGAAGGGGCCCATGGCAAGAAGAAGGGAGTTTTCCAGTCCAGTTTTGTTTGTGCATCTGCGAAATGAGGAGACTCTCTTGATGTTCACTGCGAGTGGCGTTACCGAGATTGAGCTCCGGGAGCAACCGACCAATCAGGCCGGTGGTGAGAGGCTTCAGAAGATGTGGCGCAAAGTGAGCAAAGTGAGCGTGCAGGATGAATTGGAATTGGCCGGGCCTTCACGGTCTTTGAGCCAAGCCAGGTCTTTTCGGACAACCATCGTGGGCTGTTGATCGGCGTTTAGCCAGCGAGGCATGCAGCATCTCGTTGAAGTGTATGCGTGGAGGGGACGCATGAGTTGAACAGCAAGTCATGCAGGTCGTGAAAAATTCATGACCGGATTCCCATGTACAGCCATCTCCGCTGCCTTCGTTTTGGCAAATGCCTGACTCAAGAATCGCTTCACTGCCAGCTGCTAGGCTGAAAGCGAGGTGCATCAAAAAACACATCGGCCGAAACATGGAAACAGCATTGCGGGGACCGCGCAGGAGACCCGCTGACTCACTCTTTGATCAGACCCAGGCAAATCCGCACCGCCAATGTCCACAAGCAGCTTCGGGCTTTGTGTCGGCATCTAAGCAAAGACCGTCACAAAAGGCGTGAGCTCTTTTTGGCGATTATCCTGCATCCCAAGATGGGGACTCTGAGACCTGGTCCGCCGGATTCCCGGCTGTTCTGCAGTGGCGAAGTCTTCGCGTGGCTTCCTTGATCTTCGCCGTTGCCTTTTCTTGGAATGCTACAAGGTCTGGCAATGCTGCCAATGCCGGCTGCCAAATCGTCGAATTTGCATTCCGGTTAGTAGCTTTGAGTCAGTCGTTTGACCAAGGGGGCGCACAGGAGTGGCATGACGCCTTTCAGGATGATGCTGCATTTTGATGTAGTTGTTTCATTGCCTGGCGGCTCGCCGACTCCCGGCTGATGCAACTTAAAGCATCGTGTGTCGTGCTGGCATCTGGCAGGACAGGGGGCCCGGTTCGAGCGAAGGCCATTTCATCCCTTAGATGAGATGCATCTATGTGCATTGCTGGCTCTCGCGAAGGCCGACCTGCTTGGAGACGGCGGAGGTCCGTTGAGGCGGAACCGCCCTGCTACTGCTTCCCCGGCCCATCCGGGAAGAACTGCGTCACCAGTGGGCCGCAACTCCCGGCCGCCTTCGCCGCAGCGACCTTCCTCGCCTTCGCCTGCGCGAGATGGCTACCCTCCAGCCCCAGGTGACCGGACGAAAATCCGGTCACTCACATCGCATATGCGACGTGCACCTTCTCCAACCCCAGCCTTCAACAAAACTGCTTCGGGCAAGCCGAGGTGGCGTAGCTGATGTGCCCAGGTTTTTCTGTAAGCTGTTTTGTCGCTGTTTTTTTGCCGCTGCCTTGTTCCATCATCTCCGCACCTCCAATCCTTCAACAGACCCAAAGGGGTCTACTGGTGCACACCTTCCTAAAGAGGAGGCCCTAACCTGTATAAGACAAGAGCCCAGGCTCAAAGACAAGGGCCCTTGAATTCTTCGAATCAGAGCGAAGAAACTGGCTTTGTACTTAGGTTACCAAATGCTTAACAAAGCCGATGTAGCTTTATATAGCTTTATGCTTGGTGCGTGCTGTGACTCGTCTCACGCAGCAGGAGCACATGCTGTGGGTATGCCCGAACCACAGTTGGGAACATCCAACAAAGTGGTTGTTGCTATGTCAGAATAATTCGGGAAGTAGAGAGCTCTGGATCGCTCTTAGGACTGCGGCGGCTCTTTGTTGATATTGAAGCTGAGTTGCTACATGTGGCTAAACCGCCCTTCAGGAGCCGGTCGCTGTAAAGGGATTCATCCTCACACCACCTTCGACGTGTAGTGCCGGGCTCCAGAGCCCCTCTGTGATCATTGCGAATTCTTTGTTGGATCGGGCTGCTGCTGATGCTGTCTGGATGTCGCACTGTGTCTTGAGTTGGTTTTGGCCCGATCCAAATATGTCAACAGACACGAATGTTTCAGAAGGCCATTCAACCGAAAACGAGCATTCTCTTGCAATGGCTGCTGCTTTGTTTGGTAAGCTGCTTGCTTAAAGTAAACCTTCCCGTGCTCCGGTCGGAAGCATTTGAGCTCGGACTTTGCTTCTGCACCTTGGAAAGCTCTCTGTGATCCGTGGCGATGCCGCATGCCGAAGGGAAGTCGCCGAGGACCGAGCAAGAGAGCCGCGGGGAGGGTGATCGCGGGGGAGATGGAGGCGAGGGTTAGGTTATTGCGTGCCTGGAGGTGCAAAGCCTCCAGCAGAGCGAGAGGTGCTGGAACGCTGCGAAGGGTCCGCCCATCACAGATTCATAGATGCTACATCGCTCGTCAAAGAAGCTTTGATCCGGCTCCGATGTAGGCGCCCTGCCCCTCCTGCGCCTGAGGAGCAGGAGCCCGAGGCACGAAATTTCAGCTTGGAAGTCGAAGTTTCTTTCTTTGGCACCTTTGTTGCTCAAATTCATGGGCATAGTTCATCGTACACCACTGTCGCCGACCAGGATCCGGCCGAAAGGCCGTGCAAATGTATCGTCTGCCAGCAGGCACTGGATGCCGTGAGCGTGCTTTTGAAACCTGAGTTGCCGAAGGACGCAACACGTAATTAACCCTAGGCCGCTCTTCAGAGTTTACAGTGCTGAGCATCTTTCAATTGCTCGGGAGTGTTCTTGATAGTGCGGGAAGTCCTGGCACGGAGTACTTTTCCTGTTAAACGCAGTTGAAGCGGCTTCATCCGTGCACACCCAGTATTCCTGTGCTGCAAGGGCCAAGATGTGACACATGATGATGCATGCAGTGACATTAACAGAGAAAATCGTGCATGTTGCAAGTTGCAGCTCGGGCTCCAGGTCGGCCGGCTGTTGACTGTTCCCAAGTTTGAAAAGGTTTCTGGTCTCGAGTGCAGGGTGCATCCCCGTGGCATGCCGGCTGCCCGAACATGGGGGAGATCGTTGCTGTGAGAGGCCACTACGAGCAAACACCTCCAAAGTTAGCCTTGCAGAAGGGAAGTCGAGACCGAGACTGCGGTGGTTGCTCTGCAAACTTGGGCCGTCGTCTTGACTTACTAGAGGCTCGGGTCCTGTCACATTGGCACGAGTTCCTCGTACACAAATCTGAAGTCCAGCGCAAGTTTGAAGATGTCTTTGCGGCCTGCAGAGGGCATCGGCCTAAAGGGTCTATGTCTGCGCATGCAGACCTCGAACGCCGGCTCAGCTTTTGCGAAGGAGTCGTTAGAGATTCGGAGGATGAGAGGGCGAGACATCTCGAGCTCAAAGTGCTTTCCGAAGACACCTGGCGAGGTTTGGAACGTCTACAGAATCGGGTTACGCAGGAGTCCGACAACCTGGGCAAGGTCAGCACTGACCTTCAGCGAAGACTCGCAGTCTTAGACAAGAAGAGCGAGGAGCTTCAGCTCGGGCTGCAGAGCCAAGTACCTTGCATGCACAGTGCCTCAACAGCGCCATGCAGCATAGCACTGTACCGTGATCGACCGAGGTGACAGACATGCGGAAGGAGATGCAAGACGTCATTGTCCGGGCATCAAGAGAGCTCGGTGTGGAGCTGCGCTCCTCTTTCGAGCGACGCATCCGCCAAGGCAAATGACAGAAGCAATCTGAGAAACCTGCACATCCTTTGCATGTGCCGCAGAAGCAAATACAACTCACACACAAGACGTTCAGCTGTAGACTTGTCTTACAATAATTGCATGTCGTGGCCTTCATTATGCATACCTGTCATCCTGGCATGTCCCATGGTCTAGAGTATCGGGTTTCTCAAAGAAACCGGTGCCCCGATTCAGCTCGGACAACCGGGAGGGTTGATTCAGGATCGGAGGAGTCCGATTCTGAAGCCAGATTCTCGCTTTCCAGCGAGGATTTGCAGAGCTTGCAGTATTTGCTGCTTTGCGGTTTGCCACCCACGATTCTTGATTGGATTGCAGTTTGCTAGCCAACACCTACCTTTGAGCTAAAGAAGATTACGCTGTTTCACTCGCGATTGTCTTATTGAGGGTTTGGGGTTTACCGACTAAAGTCTCAGTGTAAGGTTTGGGGCAGTTGGTGGCTTGACAAGCATGCAATACGTTTGCTTCTAGCGTCTTGGATGTGCTACCCCCGATCTTCTTTTGGGGTTCCGCGTTTGCCACCCACGACCTTCTCTTAAAGTTTGGAGTTTGGAGTTTGCCAACCAACACCTCTGCTTCATTTTTGCCCACAAAGATATTCTGTTGAGGTTTGCGGTTTGCCAACCACCACTTCATTTCAAGGTTGGGTTTTTTTTGTCTTTTTGTTGGTTTGGCGTTTGCTCCGACATCTCCTTTTACATTTAGGGCTTGCCAAGCAAATAATAAGATGTTCTTTACACTCACTGGGCCTACCGAGACGAAAGTATCTAAAGACGGAGAAGACATTCTTTGAGGGGTTGAGGTTTGCCAACCAACATCTCCATCTAACAATAGGATGTGCCAACAGTTTCTTTTTATCTTTTCGGCTTGTGCACTGGATGTCCAGCGACCGCCTCCCGCAGGAAGTGCAGGTGTCGTAGGTTTGGTGTAGGTTTGTTTGCTGTGGTTTCAGTGCTCACCAGTGGCCATCAGACCCGGTGCACAGCAGCGGATGCCTGCATCCGCATACCGGGGAGAGAGAGGTTTATCTTTTCGGCCTTGGGGTTTGCCACCCGTGGTCTTCTGTTTTTGCCAGCCATCATCTTCCCTTGTGGCGCGGGGGTAGCGTTTTCCACCCGCGATCTTCTTCCAGCGCTGGTGGTTTGCTAACCAACATCTCCTGTCGAATTTTAAATCTTGCCATTTTTTCGTTTGTGTTTGAGGATTGACCATCCGCGAGTTGTTTTAAGGTGTTGGGCTGTTTCAAGCCTTGTTCCAACCGCGATTTTCTGTCAGGGTTTTGGGTTTTGTCACCCACGACCTTTTGGGGTCTGGGGGGCTGCCAACCAACATTTCACATGTCCTTTCAATTAGGGCATGCAAGCAAGGCAGCACCTTTTTCTTTTCGGGTTTCGGAACTTCTTGCTGTAGGCTTAGAGGTTTGCCCCCGACCATCTTCCCGTAGGGTGTGGGGTTTGCCGGTTGAGAACCGTTGAGCATTACATGGTTTGCGCGCGATTTTCTTTCGGGATTTGCGGTTTTCCATCCGCGAGCTTCTTTCAGTGCTTGTAGTTTGCCAGCCAGCACCTTTGAGGTTGAGACTTGTTCGAGGGTTCGGGGTTTGCCAGGGTCTGGGGGTTGCCAACGAACATGGCCTTCTCAGGTTTAGTAGGCTTAGTCGCCCCGATCTTCTTGTATGGTTTTGGGGGTTCGCCACCGGCGATGTTGTTTGAGGCCTTAGGGTTTGTCGACCGCGATCTTCCTTTCGGGCTTGGATTGGGGGTTTGTTGCCCGCGAGCGCCTTTCAAGGTCTGGGTGCGCCGACCAAGATTTCACATCCCCTTGCGAGGTCTATAGGGATTGCAAGCCAATGTCTGTCGATTTCGGGACTTGGGTTTGCCGACCACGATCTTCATTAGGGTATTCCACCGCCACCCGTTTTCTTCTTTGTGTTTGCGGCTTTCCAATCTCTTTAAGGGCTGAGTCTCGGGTCTGCCAGCCGACATTAATGTCACGTGTTCTTTCAAACTTTAGGCAAGATATGCTTCGTTTCGGGGTCACAAATCAAAGTTTCTTCTAGGGTGTGGGGTTTGTAAGCGCGATCTTCTTTTCGGTTTCGGAGTTTGCCAGCCGCGAACTTCTTGGAGATCTTGAGGTTTGCCACCCAGGATTCCTTTATGGCTTGCGGCTTGCCGCCCGCAATCCTCTTTCAGGGCTCATGTGCTTTGCCAAGCAACCGCGATGTTCTGTCAGGGTCTGCCAACCAGTATATCCTTTGGGGGCTTAGAGTTTGCATATTAATTTCTTCTTGGGCACTGCACGATCTTATTTTAGCGGTCAGGGTTTGCCAACGAGCATCTCCCTTTAAGGTTTAGTTTTGCCAAGTGCAATCTTCTTTTGAGTTTTCGGGTGTGGTGTTTCCCCNNCCCCCCCCCCCCCCCCCCCCCGATCTTCTCGTAGGGCTTCGGGGGTTTTGCCACCGCTGATGTTGTTTCAGGGCCTGAGGTTTCCCGGCATATACCTAGCAACTCTTATGTTCATGTCTAGGGTTTCGAGTTTGCCAACCAGGATCTTCTGTTGGGGTTTGTGTGTTCGCTTCATAATCTCTTTGCTTGAAGACTTTACGGATTGGTGTTCGCAGCCCGCGATATTCTTTAAGGGCTTGGCTTCCCAAACCTTATCTCTCTTCATTCAGGGTTTGCCAGCCACGATCTTCCATTGAGGTTTGGGGTTTTGTCACCCACGACCAGTTCGAGGTCTGGGTCTGCCAACCAACATTTCAGGATCTGGTTGGGAGTTGGGAGTGTTCCGCTGGTGTCCAGTCTGAGCGGGCCTGTTTTCTCGAACTACATCCTCAACCGAAAACCCTCGATCTATGTCACAGGCAGTGCCAGGAATGCCGACAGATTAATCAGCAGGATGCAGGGCTGAGGCAGAACTCAACAAAGATCCGATCCGTTTTCGCGCTTTAGCCAAGTTGTCGCTACAGTTGTTGAAGGACGCAGTGAATTGCGGAACTGTCGTTTCCTACGTCAGCCTTGGGACAGGTCACGATGAGGCACTGGAATCGGCAGAGATTGCCTCGCAGCGCTGCATGAAGTCTGTGATGTCGGAAATGAACGCATCCGACACTTTGGCCTTGAAGCATGACCGCGGTGACTGCCGGTCACATTCATATAGATCGCTTTTGCTTCAACTCTTGGCATCAGAGGTAATGACGGCGGAGGGCCGAGCACAGCAGCAGTGCGCGAGGCGCGGCCATTGAATGCAGCTGAGCCGAAAAGGTCTCCTATAGGTCGCCATTTGAGAGCCTTTTTGCCCTTGCAGGCTTCGAGGTGAGCTGGAGGTTGCCGAAGCTGCTGCAGAGGCAAGTTCAACACGGCAAGCACTTGCGGCTGAGATGCTTCTCCCGTCTTGGTTTTGAAGGACATTTGGCGCCGAAGCTCAAACGAAATTGCACGCCGCTTGCCTGAGTCAAGGCGTTCCAGCATGGAAGCTCTCCATGACAGGCCTAGGACATGCCAAAGCCAGCTGTGGCCAACTGGGCACGAGCTCCGCCCGACGAGGCGACACACGCGTGAGCAGAATCGTTGACAAACCCGCTCCTCCAGCTTTTCACCGAGCTCATTCCATAATTACGAAGTGAGCATGCCGCGCGAAAGCCCGGCTTGGTCTTTGACCAGAGTGTGGGTCACCGGGGCAATGTTCCATCATTGTGAGACTGTGCTGCCAAAACCTTGACATCTAGGTGCGGTGGCTGCATCTGAGACCAGCTTCAAGCCGCGACTGCAACAGATCGACGAAGATGTAGCTTGCCGAAATTCAATTGCATCCGATGCGCGGGGAAGGTCTGAGTCTTGTTGCATTGACTCGTGTAGCGTTGGGTTGAACTGGGTTTTGGAGAATCGGTTGCGTCTAGCTGACTAGCAGCTGACTAGCACTTAACTAAGCTGCCAGGCTCTGGAATTAGGGTCCGGTGCCATCCGAGGCCCGTGCAGCGATGACGGCCCTGGAGCTGTCCTTGGAACGGCGGCTGCTGCAACACTCCTCAGAGCCCGGCTTGCAAGCACAAGAAGGTTCCGTCTCGGAGAGGCCACATCGTGTCACGAAATCGGAGAGCTACTTTTGCTCAGGAAGCCGCTGAGAATTTGCGATCTCTCGATGCAAGGGCTCAGCAAAACATGGCGGAAGTCGCAGAGTCGATCACACATGTTCCCAAGCTAACCTACTTATGTCCACTCTGCTGCCCTACCTTAGCCCGATCAGCTCTTGGACTCCTGGACCGAGGTCGAACAGTTATTGCGAAGCCAGCGCTCGGAGGCTTTGGCATCTCTGGAGGCCCCGAAAGGATCATCCACCAACCCCACCACCTAAACAAAGTCATCGACAGTTAATTGCTTTTGGAAGTTTCAACCCTGCCACGCGGGCTTGTCCTTGCGAAGCAAACATCCGGTGTGTTAAAAGAACGAAAAGAAGCACGTCGCCGGAGAGATGCCGCCAGAGCGTTGCATCAGACTGGGCGTGTGCAGGCCCTCGACTCGCGGCTTGCGACACAGAGTCGGCGTTGCACCGACAGCGAGGCCGAAGATGCAGGAAGTGGGTGGGGTCGAAGGATGCGGAGGCTGTTGTGTGCTTGGTTGACTCCGACTTCGGACTCGCCAGAGGGCCCAAGAGGTTAAGATTAAGTCGAGGAGCTGCGGGACACGGAATGGGCCAAGGCTCTGAGACTAGGTGGCTAGATGTGGATTGCAGGATCGGAGACAAGTGACCATGGGGGCATGTTCTGACAGGATCTTGTATCTCACAAGAAATTGCGTCTTTGTAGGTGCCTTTTCAGAGACGGTACTTTTCGCTCACTTCAGCCCTTGAAGGCTCGGGAAGCCTCCCTGGAACGGCGCCTCCAAAAGGATCATGTTCAGCTCGCCGACGACTTGCACACGATTCCTGGCTCCACAACCTCCAAACTAAAACGTGGGAAAGACGCATGTACCCTGCGGTCCTGCGACTGTACTGGTAGAAGACGGGACGGCGCCAAGCTCCGAGGAACATGTTGCAGGTTCGTCGAGAGCTGGCGGATCGAACCGGCACAGTGGAAAGCATCCTGGCATTTGATTCTGTTTCCAACTTTTCTTTCGTGGACTCAGCTGCAAGAGGATGCCAGGGTGTGGGCTCATATGGTGCGCAATGAAGGCCTTCGGTCATTCTGAAAGATGGTCGGCACAGGGAGCCTTTGAGCACCGCCTGACTGGGGACAACATCTCGCATGTTCTGGATTCTGTTGTGACAGCAGAGACGGGTCTGTACTCGGGGGGTCGTAGCGGACCATAGAAGAGCAAGGAAGCACTGTTTTTCATGAGTCTATTCTTTTCCTTCCCCCGAACAACCCGCAAAGTAGATGGGGCCTACGGGGCCTGAGAGAGAAGAAGAAGAAGAGAGATCTGATGGCGAGCGGATATTGTACTGTAAAGCACAACTGTGGACGAGTGTAACGCCGACCAGTTGTGAACGGGGCGGCGGGAGACTGAACTTGCTTTTTTGTTTGCCTTGATGTGAACTGCTTGCGAATTCTTCGGAACATATAGCTTCGCGGAGCGCGGAGTATCTGTGCGTCTTTGGATCCATTGCGCTATGTTGGCTATGTTCCACCGTGTTCCAGCCAGGATATGGCATTCCAAGATAAAGCCTCTGAAAGCTGAGTGGGACCCCAGTGAAACCGTGCCATGTGCTTGCAGTAACCGAACTGCAGAATCAAGTTTCGGTACTCGACTGTCGAGGCAGAGTGATCGCAGAAGTGGCCGGACTTCGGGATGAGCTGAAGGACTCCATCGCCGCAGGCCTTGAAACTTGAAGACTTGTCTGAAGCGGGTGCAGTGCCGATTCCGGCGGTTCCTTGCTCCAACTTCCGACTCGGGAAGGCAGAGACGAGTGGGCCATGCGCCTGAGTGAGGCCCAGCAGCAGTTGACGCGGCTTTCGGGAGCAAGTCGATCGCTGCAGGACTCAGACAGTTAGCTTTTGGACACGCAGATGTCTCAAGTACCCTAGTGGTCTGTGTCACATCGTGTTGTGCATGCGCAGGATTCCCTGGCTGGCTGCCAGAAAGAGGTGGCCGAGCTACGTGATACCCAGCATGCGATGGAGAACTCAGTGGCAGGGCTGCACGCCAGTGTCCCAGTCGCGAGTCCGACTGAGTTCAATAGAAGAGAGAGAGCACGAGGCCAGCAGAGACTCCGAGCTGCGGCTGCTTGCGGAAGACAGCCGGGCATTCAAGGCGAAGTTCACGGAAGAGATCTTGGATGCGTCGGAAGCTCAGGCTTTTTTGGGGGGCTGCCCGCGCGTGACATGTGAGCACTCTTCGAGGCAAGGGGTCAGCCGTTCGCTGGGACACCGGATGAGCACTGTGGAGGCAGCCTGTGCAGGTGCAGACCGGCCCGAAGCCAAGGGGCCAATCTTGCGGTTCGGACAGGAGCGTTTCAATCGTGGAAAGTTCCGAACGGCTCTCGTGCCATCGCCACTCCTTGGCTTCAGCGATCAGAGCATGTTTAAGGCAGTGTCGAACTTGGCCTCCACCCCAGCCACGACATGCGCGATGGAGGTCGCGCTTCAGGTCGTGGGGGCAGAGCTACGGATGCGGAATTCGTGTCGTCGCAGTCGCAGCCGAAATTTTGTGGCCCCGGCTGTTTCCGAAAGGCTTGGACCCTGAGAGCACGCCGAGCGAGTCGGTTGCCGAGCCCAGGCTTAGAGAATCCCTCAGGCCGGACAGGCCTTGGCGGGGTTGTCGTGGTGGTGCCTTTTCGCGACCAGCTACCTCTTCAAGATCGCCGCCGTCAACTGTCGCGGTTCTTGCCGCATATGAAGGAATTTCTTGCTGGCGTCCCACATGCCATAGTCATTGTGGAGCAATCGCAGGATGGGCAAAAGTTCAATCGTGGAAAGCTGTTGAACGTCGGGTTTAAGATTGCCGCCGAAGTGCTTCCTACCATGGAAGTTTTCATAACCCACGATGTTGATCTTCTGCCATCTCGAGACATGCTCCCTGTGTACGTGCGACCTCCCCCTGAGTCACGTGCAATTCATTTGGCCTCGGTGTGGCAGACTCACAGCTTGGACAGCAAGGTTGTGCTGGTTGCCCAACTAGGTAGCCCACTCGCGATTCTAGGCGATGTTTCTGTAAGAATCGGTTGTCCACGATTTTTATCGGATCACTGTCAGGAAATACACCTACAAGAACTTTATGGGTGGTGTGTTGTCCTTTCGACCCAGTGATTTCGAGCGAATAAACGGCTTTCCGAACAACTACTGGGGCTGGGGCTTGGAGGATGACCAGCTTGGGCTTCGCATGGCTCACAATGGGGTCCGCACACTGGGAGTGAGGCTCGGTGAATTCGAAGACTTGGACCCCATCAACATGAAGTCAATTCTGGAGCGAAGGGACGCCACAGAAGTTAGGAAGCACTTGCCGTGGTATAACGCAAACATGTTCCAGTGCGGAGAGCTCACGCTGGACCCGGACTGGTCCACGAACGGCTTGCGTGACCTGGACTTTGAGCAGGTCGACTCATGGGTGGACGGCCCAGTTCATCACAAAGTGGTGATGTTGAGCAGAACAGATCCCGCCGCCGGAACAAAACGACACTGGCTGGAAGCTTGCATGCTTAGTCACCTGGAGCCTGTCGTGTGCACGGCCTGTGGTGCGTTTTCTGCAACTCAGGTCGGCCAGCAGTGCCAGAGACGAAGTGCTTGCCATGTGCACATCTTTCCGGAGTTCCCTAGACCATGTGGAGGCACGGTTGACAGCGGACATCGCAGAAGGGAGTATTCCCCTGAAGCCGCCGGCTTGCAGGCCGCAAAAGATGAGCTGAGCAAGGAACTCGAGACCCAAGGCAGATCGTGTTTGAGGGTTTTCGTATTTCAGTCTGAGTCGTTATGAAATCTAGGAGTGCTGGCTGAAGGTCGCGCGGTCCGCCAGGCCGTTGAAAAGGCGCACCTGGACGGTCATCAGGCGGCGTGTGAGGAGCTCCGTCGCACTTCGGGGCCCGAGCTCGTGAGCTGCAGACCACCAGAGTCTTATATTGTCAGACGGAACTTCTTGCTTCTCAGGAGCTTTACAAGGAGCAGCGCAATTTGCGTGCAGAGGTCAGCGAGCAGCTGCAGCGGCTGACCAGCGTGGAGCGGCGCGCCAAGGAGACCACGGGCTGAAGTAGACAGGAGCGCATGCATGCACAAGGACTTTGCGGAGATCAGCGCAAGATAATCTTGGGGATGGGCGGATAGGTAGATACCCAGATAGGTAGGGGGAGGCATTCAGGCAAGGAGCTAGATTCTAGATAGATAGATAGATAGACGGACAATGGTAGGTAACTAGCCGAGAAATTAACAAAACATAGACAGACAGATAGATATACATAGATGGATGGCTGGCTATCTAGATAGATAGATCGCTCGATAGATTTACATAACACAAACGGATGTGTTTTTTGTGACAGTATACCGCTGCGTATCACGGATTTCTCGCGCTTCCGAGCGGACCCGGTGCAGGATGTGGCACGAGGCGAAGAAGCCAGCGCGCAGCGGGTGGCAGCTCTGTCAGAGCAGGCTTAAGGGAATGTCAACTTGCTTGAGCATCGCCGTGTATGCAAGCGCAGGTGGAGCGGCTCGTCCGCGCGGCACACTCGCCAAGCGATGCCGGGCATCGTGAGGTCTTTGCAGAGCTGCAGACGGCGGTCACACGCATGGAAGAGCTGCAGAGCCAGGCGTGTGTGTTGGACTTCCCTGGCATGCCTGCCGCGAAAGAGCACTGACTCACTAAGGTAAATCGCTTGCTGCGGGACTCGAAGAAGAGTACGGAAAAATGGGAGACGGTGTTGCCCCGGCTACAGGATGCTAAGAGGGATTCCATGAATTTCGGGTCATGGAGTCGGCCCGGCCCCTGACAGGAGGCGGAAAGAGCCGTCGAGCGGCTCTCTCGCGGTCCCACACAGATGCATCGCGAGATGCAGGAGCTGAGGCCCATGGAACCAGCTACGCCACATTTCAACCTGCATTGCGTTGATGTCTACCTTGCTTGTTCAGGTCTCAGCTGGCAGAGACGCGGTTGCAGGCCTCGCTGACACCACGATCAGACCGCGCCGGCAACAGGAGCCTGGAAACGCGGCGCTTGGGCTTGGGCTGGCTTGGAGAGCTTTGAGATGCCTACAAGACATCAGTCCACGCACGAGTGTACATAGAAGGTGCCAATGAACCTGTATCTGCTGATGAGCAGATTCAAAGTCAACGTGTTGTCAGTGTTTTGGTTGCGGGTTTCGACAGACCAGCAGATCCAGCAAAAACAACCGATCTTGCTTTCTGTTAACAGTCTCCAGTTTGGATTTGGAGTCGAAGCCTGCGGGAGCTCTTTCTCCTGCCAAAGACGTAGCCAACCACTGTCACCGCGCAAAAGCGATGTGCCACGGCCATTGCTACTTCGAGCTTCAAGAGCTTTGGGTCTGTGCGCGTGAGTTTCTGTGTCCCCGTGGGCAGGTTCCAGTCTTGACGCGGAAAGGGCCAGGCGTTGGTTTGAATGGGCGGGTTCAGAGTTCTTGGCCGGGCCTGAAGGGTTTTTAGCATTCGATAGGCCGATAGGCTAGGCTCTACTCAAGCTGGGTTGGCCTGGGTACGTAGTTAGGCTGTGTTGACAGGTTAAGGCAGGGCTTAGGGCCCTTCGGGTTTCTGGATTGTTGTAGCCTTGTAGCTTGAGGTGACTTGGGTTTGGTGTCCGGCTCATGCTTTAATTCTTCGCCTGTTGTGAGTCTTGGCTTTATGGGGCTTAATTTAAAATGATTCAAGCATTTCTTTGCTGCTGTGCCCGTGGTTCCTCCGTTCAGTCAGGTAACTACCGGGTGATTGGCAATCCAGTGCATTCGCCAGGAGCCCCTTCTGCGGCGAAATTATTTTTGGGAGCAGGGCTCTTGGATTGCTTCGGCCATCCTGGCAATGCCACCGCATCACCTGGCTCAGGTGTATCCACGCGGCCGGAGTCCTTGAGGATGTGCACACTTGCGCTTGCAGCTTCAGCAGTTCTCAGGCCTGCAACACATTGCCGTCGCTGAGCTAACGGGCTGTAGCCCTGGATCCGCAGCGGAAGACACGATAGCAAGTCGCGACCGTGATTTTCCGTGGCCACCTGGTTCACTTCCCAGGTCGTGAGGGACTTCGGATCTGGAAGCACCATGAGGAACCACTCTTCGACACGCGAACTTGCTGGAATGACGAGTCGGTTCACGGCGCAAGTCGGAGCGCTAGGTTTTGACTTTTGTTGCTGAATGCCCGCAAGATGTGATCGAGCGCAGGAGCATTGTGCCCTCCTTTTTCAGCTTCCAGAGGCTTGGCTTCGAGCTTGGCGTGTGCACCAGCCAAAGCACATCTCCCAAATTCTCTTTTTCGGCCAAGGGGCCCGTGCTGGAGCTTGGTCGGAAGCTCAGGTCTGCGATCCGACGGCTCCGGGCCGACGTGCCCGCATTCCATGGTGAACTGAGGTTCATTCCTGCTGTTGTGCGAGGTGCCCCCGCAATGCGCTTTCGATGAGCTAGGCTCCTAGGCACTTGGCTTTCAACGGTCGCAGTCGCCTTGCACCGTTGGCGGATAAGGACGGGTCTTTGGCTGCCGCCCGAGCCTCGGAGGAACAAATGTGCAGAGACAGCCAGTCTGCTGAAGGATCCTTTTAGGTGCAACTCTCAGATCCTGTGCTACTGAACCCTTCCGATGCTCCCGCGAAGCCAAACATTCCTTTTGCTGCGTGCAGGGAGCTTGCCTGCCGTGACGCAGGAGGTAGGACCTGGTAGGAGAGTCGTTTCTCACCGCGGTCTCCGAGGCCGCGGCCGACGTTGCATGACCTCGCCCGAGCGGCGCGAGCTCAGGCCGCCCGAGTTTTCGTGCAGCTTGAAGCATAGAACCTGTTGAGATTGCTTTGAGCTGTTTACTCACTTCGTGCTTGCCGCCCTTCGTTCGAACCCGGTGGAGTGATCATGAGCTCGAAAGATTGCTTAGAGGCCTTTTGCTGTTGCCTCAGTGACGCAAGGAAGCTTTGGAAGCTGAACTCTGTGTTTGAAGGGGTCCACACTTGTCAGTGCAAGCTTTTGCAGAGTTTTCCACTGNNTCCACTGTTTAGCAGTGTTGTAGAATGGAATTCGTTTGAAGTGTGCTGTACGCAGCCTGCTCAGAAGCCAGACGCAACGTGTCAGTCAAAAACGACCTTATGTTCTTTCCGTTCATCAACTTTGTGAGGTTTCAATCTTGCAGAAAAACATCACGAACTGTTGATTTGGGACCACCCCTACCCGCAGAAAAAGCATGTAGCCATGTGGGAGACATGTCTCGCGCACTGCGCAGCGCTTCTTGACTAAGTGTGGTGATGCAGTACCATAGGATCGAGAACACGGCGTCGAGTTGAGAACCAAGCATTTCACATTCGTGGCTGCCGCCTCCTTCCCTCGACCCTCCCGTTACCCGTTGGGCCGCTGGCCGATCGGCTTGGACCAAGACAATGCCGTGACTGCAATACGCAGGATTCCATGGCCTAGGGCGCGCCCGAAGCGAGACGATCGTAACGTGATTTGTTGGTGGTGATTGTGTGCTTCTTTTTCGGCTAACTCACGGGATGAGCCCGTTCAGATTGGCTGACAGGCATGTTCCGCGGCAGACTTTTGGCGTTCCAGAATGAGGGACTTCAAGACATGGCGAGCCTCAGCCACAGTGCAGCTTCAGAAGCCTGCGATGCTGCGTTGCGCTTCTGTTCTGTTCAGATCGCCAGCTGTCTCCATTGATTGCCTTATGTATCTTGCCTTGACAGATTGTACCGGATCGAAGGTCTTTATCAAAGGGTCTGGCAGCTGAGCATCAGGAGTGAGCGGAGTGCTCAATTCCATTTCGCCTTGTGCTTCCAGACACAAAATACCAAAAAGCCTCATGGTGTGTCATACCGCCGATGGCCTGCGAGCTCCATCACTCGCCTGGGCGTCTAAAGCGATGGGTTCAGGACATGTTGCAGCAGTGCCTGTCTTGGCAAGGCTTTCACGCCGCCCGCTTTTGACAGGAGCACGGCAGGAGACGCACCCCGCGGACCACGGCGCCAGAGCGCGTGCAGGCCAGGTGCCGCGGTTGCTTTTCCCTGTCCACTTCTGTCCCATGCTTGTAACAGGAAGCTGCCGCTCACCTGGACTTGGTTGTCGCCCGCCGAGAGGCCGAAGTTGCGGAGCTACGGGTCGAGGCGCAGAGAGCCAAAGCAGCTCTCGAAGATGCTCAAAAAAAAGAGGAGGAGGCCGGGGAAGGGAATGTGTTCTATGATTCTATGCCGTTGCTTTCTTGACGTCAGCCTGACATGCCGAGGAGGCTGCGTCTCAAGAGGCAGCGCAGGTGGCACTTGCCAAAGACTTGCAGGCAACAGTGTGGGAGCTGCGACACTTCCTGCGGCAATGTGTTGCGCTGCATTGTTTGAGGTGTCACTGCACGGAGAGAAGGAGCTCTTAGAAAGATTGGATGCAGAGGAGGAAGAAGCCAAAGCAGATGCTGCTTTGCTCCTTGGTGATGATGTGGGGCTGGTGTGTTTTTTATTTGCCGCTTGAAGCACGTGAGAGGTCCCTGACGCAATGCAACGGTTTGGTTGTGAAGGTGCGAACGTGCAGACTCTCAGAGGAGCATTGCCTTGGCTGAGCTTCGCGAGCTGCACGGCCACCTTCAACCGCTTCAGGAGCTGATGTTGGGTCTGTAGCCATGAGCATCTGAACGGCAAAAGTCCCGTGCCAAAACGAGGAGAGCCTTGCACGCGAAGAGGCCTGCACATCGCGAGAGAGAAAGGGACCGAGGCTAAGTCACTGGGATTCGTTGGACTTAGGCGGCCGTGGCAGCTTTGAGGTCGGAGCTCACAGCAGGCGAGAGCTCATGGGCCCGGCCTTTGGTGCCCCGCACTTCTGTGCCTCTGGTCTCTGAGGCCAGCTGCGTGCAGTGGGTTTGGCGCAAGAAGCAGCGGAGGCAAGCCGCAAGAAGCAAGCTTCTCTTGACGTCTCGGGCTCAGTGGGCTTCTCGCGTGCAACGGTTTGCGGGTGAACTTCGTGGCGGCACTTTGTCACTGCAGTGGTATGCGCACGGCTCGTGGCCAACATGGCCAATTTCTTTGCACAGTGGTGGCATCACGCTGCTCGTGAGAAGCCAAGGGGTGCCTCTGCCCAGAACAGAGCCCGAAAAAATAGCCCCGCGCACACACACACACACACGAGGCATATCCGGTCGGTGCGGTTGTCGCCTTCCGAACTATTTGTCCCTTTTGTTGTCGTCGTTTGGTTGGTTGTCAATATACATAGTGTCATGTTAAGATGGTCCTAGTCAGATGCAGGATGTGGTTTGGTACTTGCATGGACAGCTAGGCTGCTAGATGCCCCCGCTGTTATTCAGTAATGGCACTTAAGCAGGAACATCGACGCTCGGCTGCATGTCATGTCGCCCCATTTAGCGTTGCTGTGTTATGATCTGTCATGATGTTTTGCGCAAGATGTAGCCCGACAGTATTTCGGGCCTCCCAAACTGGCGCACTGTTGCGACATCTCTTCGATGTACTGCAGTATGCAGAAGCTGAGACTGTGAACTTTCGCCTCATTCCGGAATGTTCAACGAGGTCCGTGAACCTTTGATTCACTACTTCGCTGGTCGCGCTTACCAGGAGCTCCTCTTGAAAACTGGCGTTCCTGTCCTGCTTTGGAGTTGCAGGACTGGGAGGAGAGTCGCGCAGATGGTCTTCGCAACAGGTGTAGTGCTGAGATCTGCAGCCGTGAGCTGTGCGCACTCGGAAAATTGCCTCTTCACTTGGGACATCGTACCCGCGCCGCCATAAGTAGTCACAACAGATGCCCGCGACGCGGTCACACCAGAGCTGCAGCCGAGCGAGCAGAACCGTGGATTTCTGAACTTAAACAAAACTTCCAGGAGCTGGGGGCAGCCCAGGCTCGGAGTCAAGAAAGCAAAGTCGCGAGAGCGAAGCTGCGGTCTAAAGAGCAGTGTGTCACTAAAACAGCGACTGTGCACGGATGCGACGAGACCGGAGAAACAAGGAGGCACTTTGTCATCGATACAAAAGTGGAACTACCGACATCTCCGCAGGTTAGCAGAGCTTTGGGAGGGACGGGACCGGGACCGGGACCGGGAAGGCTTGGTCCCAGCTGAATTTAGCGGCAGTCTTCTCCAGGCCGCTAGGGCCCCCTTGACAGAGAAGAATCCAAGTGCGGAGGTGGAGAAATCACGAAGAGCCCAAAGAACGCAAGCTGAAGCGATGAGACTCTGGCCGAGGCTTGTCCTGAAGCGCTGCTTCCGACGGTTTCAGGCCATCGGTGAGGCAGCAAGCAGGCTTTGCCACCGAGCAGCGCCTTGGACGGCCTCACAAGGAATCCAAGAGCGATGCTTCCGCGGCTGCATGTATCCGAGGCTGCTTTCGAGCTTCGTCGACGTCAGCAGTTGACGAAGCAATTTCTGGATTGCTGGAGATTTGTCCAGGCCGTCGCCAATTCCCTCCCGCCACAACAGCTTAAACATGACGCTTGTATGGGGGAACGTAAATGAAGCCCATTAGAAACTGCTGACATGGTGGAAGTTCAACGGCCGTAGAATCCCGACCATGGGAGCTAGTTCTAGGGCGAATGCATCTTTGTCAGCAGGGAGACTGGCAAGTGGAGGAGCGGCTGTTGACGCAGACACTCGGCGACTTTAAGATGCGCTGGCAAAGCGGAGGCAAGGCTAGAGCGGAGGATCTGCAAAAAGCTCTGCATATCCGAGGATAATGCGTGGCTGGGCCGAGCAGCGTCTCGGCGCGACTGGGCGGCGCTTGCGCGCTCTCCAGCTACGCAGGCGATAATGTCGAGACAAACTTATCATCTTGTCGGGAAAGTCACAACAGCCTCCATTCGTCTGAGGCTGGCTTCCGAGATATGGGTTTCTTGGTCGAGGCGGGCTGACGCTTACAGTAGGGCTTTTTGTATACATAGCATGCAGCAACATTGACTGCCAGTTTCGCACCAGTGAGTTGCAAGTGCTTCAGGCTCGTACCAAAGCGACTGCCGACTCGCTTGCTCAACGTCGACTCGGTCAGCTTGCAGCCTTTGCAACGACTGAATCGTGGAAGGCATTGCTGCAGTCTGGGACAGCATACAATGAAGACGCATTCCATACAAATACACTGTCTCATGCATGGTCCACTCAATTCAAGTCATGTCGCCCTGACAGCTGCCTGGGTGCATTCCGTGGCTGGAGCTTTCTGACCTGGCTCCACTCCCGGCAAGCGTCACTGGCGAAGGGTTTCTGGAAGCGTCGCCGAGCAACAAACGTTGCAAGAGCTCTGTGGCAACTCAGGCGCTGTCTGCATCTTTTGACTGGAAGTATAATAGTGTTACTGTAGTCTGCTTTCCGTCCTGCCTGTTGAAAGGGCTTCGGTGACACAGCGGCGATGCTGGCATCGCTGTGCACCATTGCACTTTGGCTACCGCCTATCGCACACCTTAGAGTCGTGAGATGCTGGGAATGCTGAGGCTGTGGCGACTTTTCACCATGCACCTCTTTTGCTGGCAGCGGCGCCAGCCATTCGTTGGCTTCGTTGTCTGGCGCGGCGTGCAGCGGCGCTGCAAGCGTGGACGGTCCATGGCCCTGGACAGCCGGGCAGTTTCCGCTGATTTCCGCTGGTGGCCGTGCAGTCTACACACAGTTCCGTCCGTGTCCAGCATGTGCCGGTGCTTGTGCAGTGTCGCAAGGAGAAGCTATCTCAGTGTGGGGAGAGGGAATCATTGGCCTGGAGGACGTCTGCACGTGACATGCTTCGCGTCGCACACAGGCGGTGCCGGTATAAGAGCAGCAGAGGCACTGTATTGTGCGTGCACCAAGAGAAGCGGAAGCTGCGAGGAGGGAAGTTTGGAAGCGTTGGCACGATCTTTTGGCTGCGGGGTATGCAGCCGTGCAAGCCGCTGCCAGCAGTCTCTCCACGCGCAGAGCTCGGCACCGCCAACGTACCTCGGCAAAGGGACTTTGATTCAGGCTTGATGTGTTTTCTTTGTGTTGGTTGGGTATTCTCGACCTTATCGACAAGTCCGTCTCGGCCAAGGACTGTGGTTCCTCTGGCTGCTCCGCAGTACCCGACTATCATCTTGCATGCTGAACCCGTGCCATGCAATTCAGCAAATCAGTTTCTACCGTTGCTGTGTTTGCCATATCAACAGCTGGACAATCATTTGGCAGTTTCCTTTTGTGCCTATGCTGTGCAAAGGAGGTGTGTGGCTTGGCTTCGAACGTCTCGCTTGGAGTCCTGCTTTCAGCACTGGTGCAGATGCATCTTTCAAGCTCGCCGTCTTTGCTGGTTGATCTTTGGATGCATCCTTTTGGGATTGAATGCGCACGGGAAGACTGGCACAGTAATGCAGGGACAAGAATGACTTCTGGCACACCACATGTGGTGTGTGTCTTCGTCTGTTTGTTTCTGTGTGTTTCTGTTTGTGCTTAAGCGCTGCATAGTGCTACCGCTGCGCAAGTTCGGTCCGGTTTTCCGCATGCACCTGCTTTCGCAAGGGTCGTTTTTGAAAACCCATGTGCCATCAGGAGCAGACGCATGCGCCATCGTCTCCTGCAAGTTGTCGTGCAGAACTGGGCATCTCGAAGACACAGACACAAAGTTCCCCGTGCTGCAGCGCAAGTTGGCAGCGGCCCAAGCCAACGGAAGATCACCACAGCATGCTTGGCACTCCTTACCATCTGCTGGGGAGGCCAGGCACATCGACGAAAGTCACTGCATCGCACCATTCATCTTTGGTTGTTGGCCTTTGAACGCAGGAGGCTGCAGGCCGGCTGAGTTTCGATTCTTCTTTCACAGGGCTTGCGGCTTTGCTCGCCGCTGCGCGAAGGCCGTGCCCTTGCTGGGAGGAACGATGAGAGCCCAGGTGCCAGAATTGCACGCCTGTGTCGAATCCTCGTATAATTAGTGTCGGGGGGACGATGGACGAGCCTGACGGAGAGATTCACGGCGGCTTGGTCCTCTCGATGTCAGTCATGCGGCTCAGGCCCATCATTGCTTCCTGGCAGAGTTACGTGCAGCTCGTGCGGCTGAGCTGCTCAGATGCATGTCCGACACGAGGGTATTTCCCCTGCAAGTTTGCGTTCCTGCACCGATTTCGGAGCTAGGACGAATCTGGCCGAAGAAGAAGCCTTGATCTCGAAAGATGCTCAGCAAGATTCAATCTGAAGCATAAGAAAATGTGCATTGATGTGCATTCCTGCAGCTGCAGGAAGCAGTGTCCTTGCGAAGTGAACTGGTCCCTGCGGCTCACGACGTCGGATTGGCGAGCCACAAGGCGGAGCAAGCCCAGATGGAGCTGCAGGCATGGTTGTCTGCAGCAGTGAGGGTTAGCGAGCTGGTCAAGCGTGTCGGGCTTCCCTTCTTTCGAAGCATCATGAATCTTTGGATTCCATCAGGGGGCGACGTTCATACAATTTCGCAGACATGTACCTCAGCCTTCGCTGGTCGCTGCTGGCAAGTGCAGCATGCGAAACAAGCCAGTTGCTTGGTCCAGGTGCAAGTCAAAGCCTTGGAGGAGTTCGAATGTGCCGAAGTGGAGCAGCAGCTTTGTGAGGTTGCTCGCCCACCATTGGACTTTGTTTGATTGCTGGAGTCTGAAGTGACTGCGCTCCAGTAGTACTGCTTCGGCACGATAGCGCTCAGGTTCTGCGACTGAACGTGGAGTTAGCCCGAGGGTTCCGAGAGTCGGAATCCTGTGTGGCAGCCGCTGCGATGCGTCTCGACGCTCTGTGCAGGTTGGGAGTGAATGTCTTGGGGAGACCAGATGCAGCCTCAAAGCGACAGCTGCGCAAAAATGCACAGTATAGGCCTATGTAGTAGGACCTTAAGAACTCCCCGCCACGCAATTCAGCTGGGCAGGAAGCACAGAGGTCGAAGACATTTTCGGGGTTTTTTGAACTTTAGGCTCCATTTGGCGTGTGTCTTTGGTCGATAATTTAAATCGGTGCTGTTCTAAATCGGGGCGGGGCTGGGGCGTTAGGACCGGTCCGGGGATTTAGATTTACGATCTAAATTTTAAGGCGGCCCAGGACCCATGGATTTCCACAAACCACTTAAATGTTAGAAAAATTGGAACTCCTAATAACATGTTCTAAGAATCCAAATACATTCGATACAGCGCCGGACCCGGGTTTAAGAAGTTAAGCCGGGCCGGAAATCCGGATTTGATCTTTCAAGCCAACACTCGAGGGACCGATGTAGAGTCGCTAAAAATTACTGAAATTGTCAAAGCTGTTGGAATTTAAATCGGTCCCGGATGCCCTGCAGATTGAACAATTTTTGGAGAGGAACATTTTCAACGTAAGAAACAACTAAAAAGGTACAATATTCTGTGGTTTTAGAACTTAAATCGGTGCGGGGCTCGGGATTTAGAATTCGCATCGGGCCAGAAATCCGTATTTAAGATTTCAATCCAAGGCTCGAAGGCCCGGTTCAGAGTTGGTACCTTTTTTGGATATAGAGAGGGCGTCCTTTGCTCAACCATATACATGTTTTGAAAGGCCAAACCTTGGACTTTGTGATAGACACTGAAACCAAAACCCAAAAAATGAGTTGCGAGAGTGTAAACCCAAAACCCTTCTTCCTGTTCGCACAACTAGAAAATCGAAAAGATCGCCATGCTACAGAAGCCCATAGGCTCTGAGCCCTGAACTCTTGCGTCCTCTGTGGCAGTTCGTCGGCATCTCTACGGAAGCAGCTGGATTCGGCAGAGCAGCAGTGCACCAACAGCATGCACGGCAGGACGCACCAGCAGGACGCGGCGTGAGTCCAGTCAGGTACACGGCTGCAATGGCCACATTGGTCGCAGAGGCAGCCTGGTTGAGGGAGAAGCTTGGCTGAAAGGCATAGCTGGCACTGCCTGCACTAAGCCGCAAGCCTGGCAAGCCGAGTTGGTGGGTAGGTAGGTAGGCAGGCAGGCAGGCAGGCAGGCAGTCAGGCAGGCAGGCAGGCAGGTATGTTAGGAGTGTATATGTGTGTGTGTGTACATATATATAATTATATATATATATATATGAGCCCGATACCTTTAGGGTCTATATAACCACGTTTTGTTGTCTTCAGTACATAATGGAAAGTTAAATGACTCCTGTAGGCACAAACCCATTACAGAGGCATAACCCGAAAAGTTTCAGACCGACCTCGATATTTCTTGCAAATGAATAATTACAGACACTGGATCATGCTCCAGTCGAGTCGAGTGATGCATGTGGAA